CTTCTCTTCTTCCTTCCCTGTTTTTTTTTTTTTCTTTTTTTTCATTTTTCATTTTTTTTTTTCAATTTTCACATTTGTGTGCGCGTATGCACATGGACAAGGAATCTCTATTTCCGTGTGTATTTATTTGTTTGTGCATACGTACGTACGTACAAGGAATCTGTATCTCCGTGTGTATTTATTTGTATGTACGTTGAGGATAAGCGTTTCCATATAGAGTTTATTTGGGAGTGATTTTTTTCCCTCCAAAAATTGATTTTTGATTGTTATTTCATTCGTCATATTTGATTTCTTCTCTCACAAGTAGACATCACATTTCTCCTAATGATCAAAAAATCAATTCTCAAAATCACACCCCAACAGTCTCATATTTGTGTAGGTCTATTCATTGCATTTTTACTTTTTGGTTTTAATATTTTAATTAAAGTGTCAAATTGAGGTTCGGATAATTGAGTTGTTTAAGCTCCCGTTTGAGCTTATTCTTTGAAAAAATTACATTCTTAAACCAACATTATTTTTCCTTATTTTTTAATCACACATTTCTCATCAATATACTTTTCAAAAATTCATTCTCATGAAAAGAATAGGACTTAAACAAGGGCTAAATTTTTATCCGCAACCAATTATTTATTCTTAGACAGTTCTACAACTAGTTATGTCATATGTGTGAAATTATGCTCTTGTTTCAATTAAAAAGTTAAATTAAAATTAATAATACAAATTTTATGGGATCCACAAATTTTTAACTATATATTTTATTAAATTTTTTCAAAATTTACTAAAAATCTGATATTTACCAAGTAGGGCTTATATGTAACTCACAATTCTCTTTAATTTTATTTGACATGCAATACAAAGACATGCTATTTTAGTTATGTATGAGATAATATGTAAGATAGAACTCTATGCAATTTCATTTGACAGGTGATATAATTACCCATGTTCCATATATATATATATAAAGCATGTAAATATGCATATTTATTAAGTTATAAAACTTATTTCACAAACATATTAATATGTAGAATAATGTTATATAGTATCAATGTTGAACATTAATTTAGATGTCAATATATCATAAGTCTTAATATTTATTGCCGAACAGTAAAAAGAATTTGACAAGCTCTATACATATCATGTTTTAGTTCATATCATGTTTCTTATCGAAATAACTAAAACATGACATATGCGTGTTTATTACATTGTAAATTTTGATCATAATGTTCCACAAACAATATTATCTAATACTTAATATTTATTGTCGAACTATAAAACAAATTTGACAAGCGTTATAAATAATTAAATATCACGCTTCTATATATATTACAAAAACATGACATATGCGTTTACTATATGTAATTGTTTCACAAACAATATTATCTAATACTTAGTATATTTACAAAAATTTGATTAGCATTAATGGTGATGACTCAAAATTAGTAATAATCCTACTCAAATATATAGCACTTGATGTTGCAAGTTTAGCCATGAGAAGTAACTTATATATATATATATATATATCATGTTTTAGTTCATATCATGTTTCTTATCGAAATAACTAAAACATGACATATGCGTGTTTATTACATTGTAAATTTTGATCATAATGTTCCACAAACAATATTATCTAATACTTAATATTTATTGTCGAACTATAAAACAAATTTGACAAGCGTTATAAATAATTAAATATCACGCTTCTATATATATTACAAAAACATGACATATGCGTTTACTATATGTAATTGTTTCACAAACAATATTATCTAATACTTAGTATATTTACAAAAATTTGATTAGCATGAGAAGTAACTTATTTATATATATATATATATAATGCCCTCGTGTTTATACTAACACACGTGCATATTTACAAGGATGAAATTGTATTAATTTATCGATCTATTTAGTAAGACTTAACACATGACCTTATTTCACTACTTTATATTAGTGTTATAAAAAATGTGTTTAGAAGAGCGCGAGCTGTAGGGCAAAATTCTTTGTCGTGACAGTGAGTGTGAATTAAGTGGTCAATTTCAGTTGACAGCTTAATGCGCAATTAGACACTTTATTAATTATTTTATCTTTTTCCTTTGTTTAAAAAAATACCTTATTTGACTTTAACTTAGTAACTTTTTTATTTTTAAAAGATTTTTATTTGACTTAAGTTTCAAGTTTTTAAATGACTTTATATATACAAAGGTCAAAAGTGGCTTTATGTAATAAAGATTTAGATAAAATTTAAATTACAGTGCTATCTATATTATATAATAATGATTTAGACTTGTCGTTTTATTAGAAATTTCAAAAGTATGTATGAAATTCGTATAAATCTATTAAGTGGAATTTGTCTAGTTAAAAATTGAAATTATGAAAAATAATCTAGTTTTGAAAATTGTATAACTGACTAATTGTAGGAATTATTAAGTAAATATAGTACTTTATAATTTTAGAATTTTGGTATGCATTATTTTAATTACTAAATGTTTTTTGAATGATTAAATATTTAAAAAATATAATAAAAATAAGTAACTTTTTTTTTTTTTTTAACACATAGACCTCGCCTAAGCTTGTCTAGACTCATAAAATTTGACTTTTTCGTCTAGCCATATTTTATGCCTTTTAGAATACGTCTTATGTGATTAGTTGTATAAAATATTGTGTAACATAATTTAAGGGATATAATATAGCTCCCCATGCATATTAATTATCTTACTTGGCAACCTATATTTATGACTCATTAACTTGATTGTGTGACCACTATCGAATGTTTATAATGCAATAACATTTAAAAGACGTAAAAATATGGTACTTCCATTACATTTTATTTGTGCAACCATGGTAAATAACATAGAAGGATACATTTGTGTACTTATAGAATAATCATATCATATATACATGATCTTATTGCTTGATTTTTGTTGAAGCGTATCTTCTGAAATAGGTATAGACTATAGCGCAGACGATTTTAAAAGTCGACTCTTTATTTAATAGGTATAGAGATCACCAATATTTTGTGATTTTTTATCGAACATATCCAATTCAAAACTTCATATAAAACCAATATATTTATGCAAGCATAATATGGCAACTCAATAAAGTTAGTCTTTATTTGCAAATATTATTTTTTTTATTTTTGATATTAAAAGATTTGTGGTCTAAGTCTTGTAGGACTATCTTGCAAGAAAAAATAAAAATAAATTCTTGTGCGACTACTAAATGCAACTTCACTAAAATATTTCCCAAAAGTCCCAACACTAAAAAGATTTTTCAGTACTTTCCCTTAATATTTATGTCACTTAGTAATATTCCTTAGTCACTAATCCACAATTGGTCTCAAACATTTTATTTTTGAAAGGGATATTCACATGTATTTCCTTTTTTGTGTTAAAAATAAGATTATATGAGGATCTTAATCTTTAGTTATACAAATTAAATTATCATAAAATCCTTTTTAGATTGAAGGTCTAATAGTAATTGCTCTTCTCTTAATAAAATTGCCAAATTATGCTCTAATTCGATTCAAAAAGTAATTTTAGCTATTTCACAATGTGAAATTTGGACTTTCGATTTAGAATTTAATTTTCTCATAACTTGTCGACAATAATTTTCATCTCTCGACACGCAACATTGTGAAAGGAAATTAATAAATTTAATATATTTCTTTTCCCCAATATTTCCAACGGGCCTTACAGCTAAAAAGGCACTAATTAGTTCATAATTGAAACAAATTAACGGAAAAGTATTGACTAATAAAAGTGACTTCACATCTGCAATTATGTTGCCCACTGGGCCTCACAGAAATTATCATTATGCTCATTAAATTATTATTATTATTTTTTTTAACTTTCAGCCATTTTTAAACTATCTTGAGGTCTACCCTTGCCAACTTTTTCTTATGCCTTACTCCCTCTACTTTAACTTTTTGCCTCTTTGCAAGTTAAAATCAAAGCTCATATAAATATATGTATAATGTAACGTTTGACATTTTGAATATCATTGATTAGTATTATTGGAGACGAGTGAGAATGTGTGATATATGCAATTTTGTTCAATTGAAAGTATTACAGAGACTTAATATTTTCGTGATATTTTTTACATTACAATCTCATCTTAGTGTTTGTTTAAGATTAATTAGAAGTTGTTGAAATTAAAATGTGATAGAAATGAGTAATAAATAAATGAGCTGTATCCGTTGGTTGAAATATGTGATAAAACTTAAAGTTTAATTTTGATTTTTAAATTTTATACATACATATGATGAAACCCTAGTGACCACTTGAAATATATTTGAGGTATGCTTTTTTTTTCTTCTTTTAACAAGTAGTGTTTGAATGAATTTTGTAAAGTTTCAACATACTTTAGATTTTAGTACCTTGATTTATTATTATTATTATTCGTTTCTTATCAAGTTAGATAGCAGAGTTCGAGCTATGATAAGAATTACTATTTAATCTACATCATTTTCATAACAGCAATCTATACATTTTACAGAACGTGAACTAAATTGATCTCAAATAACTCAATTAATATTTAGAGCTCGATAGACTACTGATGAATACTATCTACGAGTATATGAGGTTTATTCTTCGTTTACCAAAATTACAGGTTAGAACATATTTTTTTAAAAATAAATAGTTGTCTTAAACTACAAGTATGGCTCTTTCTTATCTTCGTAAGAAGCAATTCCAGTTGTAAGAATAACATCACTTTTTCCCCACTCCCACCACAAAAATAAAAGTGAAAGAAATAAAATTAGATATTTTCTTTTCTTTATATGCACTCTTTGAATCACTCGCTTCTAAAAGACTTCTTCCTTTTAAAAAGCTGATTTGGCTGAAACCCCACTCATTAAGCTTGGATCAATATAAAGTACACTTAAACAATTTTTTACATGAAAAAATAATTTAATTATAGAATAAAACCCCTCTAGTCTTGCAGTCTATCTAGATAAAACGGCAAAATATAATTTTATTACGATTAAATAATAGAGAAGCCTCTAAATAATAAACTTATTTTCAAATACGTAGTTTTATATTTGTTAAAAGAAGTACTCGTCTTTCTTCGATAACCATATTAGCGTCAATTTAAATTTTCGGTAAATTGATATGCAACTTCTTCAAAATATAAATTTAAGGAACTATCTGGATAGATTTTTAAATAAAAGTAAAAACAAGTAATTGAAAAAATGTATATTATTGAATATTTTGTGAAATATTTAAAACTAAAAAGGAAATAATAATGTGAGTTTCACAACTCATTGATTGTATTGTCACTTCTATGATAAAAAATCAGGATCTGATTCGTCAATCAAACCATCACTAATTTACTTTGTCGGTAGATAACAAAAACGGAAAATAGAAAATGAAAGGTTGAAAAATTAGAAACTAGGGTCACATGGCTTGTTTGATTTTGATTTTGGGTTGAAAAATCGAACCATTTGGTTTTGGGTTAAAAAAAATGAAAGGTTGAAAAACCGAACCATTGGGTTTTGGGTTTCGGTTGATTTTAATTACATTATTGATTGAGGAAAAAAAAATAAAAATAAAAATAAAAAGGAGAAAAACGTTTGAGGAAGAAAAAGTAAAAGTTGAGATTTCAATTTTTTAGAAATCCTTGGGCTGTCGTGACTGAGCGTGACAGTAGATGGAAGGCAGCACCTATTCGTATCCATGTGAAAGTCAATGTATAAATTGAAAATGAGAGAAAATGATAAATGAACCGGAATCTAAGTCTCCAAAAAAAATTAAGATCTAGTCTCCACAATGAGAAATGAAAAATCAAAAGTAACGTGCCCTTTTGTCCTAATTTTCAATTGAATTATGAGTATTTTATTTATTTATTTTTTTTGTGAATTGTGATTCACTAACTTGTAAAAGATTTTATATATATGATAAAATTTAAAAAATGAGTTTGGTTTTTGATTCTTAAACTAGAACCAGAGCCATATGATTCTCAGTTCTTAGAATCTAAACCATTCGTTTTTCTTGTGAAACCGAACCAAATTGCTCAATTTGATTTGGTTCTGGTTCGGTCTGATTTTATTTGGTCATTTTGTTCAATCTTGCTCATTTTTATCTATTTACAAAATAAATTGTTCACATATTCTTCCCAAACAGAGTCTTATCTATTAAATTCTTTAATCATTAAGCCATGTTTGGGCTCCATCAAAATTTTAAGAAACTTTTTCTCTTTGTTCTTTTCAATAACACATTTTTCAATAAAATAATATTAGATGTAACCCAAAACTTTTCATTTTTTTAACTATCCATTCTTCAATACTTCTTTTTTTTTTTTTTCCCGAAAGTTAATTATAGTGGAGCTCAAATATGGGCTTATTGATGTCGTCAACCATTTAACACATTGTCGAGATTTATATTTTATTTTAAAATATTAACCTTATAGTGCAGCATCTTCAATAGGCTACTTAAAAGATTGAATTCTATTTGTGTTTGTATTTGTTCTTTTTGAGATTGCATTTAATAAAATTGCAAGTTTCAAAACTCCACCCCCTAAATTAAATATTATATTGCATATATTAGCTATTGACACATAAAAAAATATATTAATTAAAAAATAGGGGGAAAACAAACGAACATTGAGAAAAGTACAACAAAGAGCAAAAGTAATAATAATAAATTGTTAAAAAGTATAAACACTTTAATCCTTAAATTTAAAAGTGTTTTCTATAACGATTAAGATGCTTTTTAAAAATAAGAAGTCTCTTATAAATGCTCTAAAGAGGTGTAGTTTTTATTTGATATGAGATATTTATTCTTAGCATTTATGTACAAAATGGGGGCTCATTTGAACATATCAATCTTGAAATTCGTATGTTTGTTTCGATTTTAGTTAGATTAAATTGCTCATTTGAATTTAATGAACTCTATACCATATTGAGTGAGGTTCTAAACCGTGTAGTGTGCGGTGATGCATTTCTGATGAACATCAAGCGTTACAAAAATATGCGTGCATATGGGAAGTATATACGTAATTACGTGTTTTTCAGATTTTAATATTACTTTAAATATTCTAAACTAACAAATAAATAAAATAATCCATTCTTTAAACTTTATAATATTCTTCATTTAAAAAAAAAAATTGCTCAAAACCATAAATACTACAATTACTTAAACTTTATATGTATTTTTCAAATTTTAACGAAAACATAATGCTCAATATCATTAATACAGCAATTACTTGATAATCGATTGATACAATTAGATTGGACACGAATTTATAAATCCATTAATTATTGAGGATACTTAAATTTTAAATGATTTCATTAAAATTTCAATTGGGGACAAATAAATTTTAATGGATTTTATTAAAATCCATTAAAATCTTGATTGAGGACACCTAAATTTAGAATAATTTTAAAAATCCATCACAATCGCAATTGAGGACACCTCCCTTAAGCTTGAAATTCATCCAAATCTTTTAAAATCCTTCTATTAATGAAATCTTTATAAATCCACTAATTATTGAGAATACCTAAATTTTAAATGATTTCATTAAAATTTCAATTGGGGAAACCTAAATTTTAATGAATTTAATTAAATTCCAATAAAATCTTAATTGAAGATACATAAATTTAGAATGACTTTTAAAATCTATTGCAATCTCAATTGATGACATCCTCCGTGGATTTTAATATACTCCCACAAAATTCAAAAGAATCTCATTCAAAATGGTGAAATTTAAAAAAGTTTGTTATATGTATTTTTAAGCTTTAAATCCAATTTTTTTTTAATACCTCTATTAATGAAATCCATCTAAATACATGGAGTTGTTGAGTACAACTAAATTTTAATTGATTCCATTAAAATCTCAATTAAGGACACCCCTTGACTCTTTCATGAGTTTCATCCTCCTTTTTTCTTTTTTCTCCTTTTTTTTCCCCTAACATTTCTAAGCTAGATTATGGATATTACTTCATATTTCTAAAAAACCTATTTTTGAATAGACTTTGTTACTTGTACAATTTTCTTTATACATTTCTTGACAGACGATGAGGTGGCATGTATTTTAGCCCTTGATTTGAATTTCATTATTCAAATTAAGGGCCAAAATGATGTCACCCCAGCATCTATAAACGGAGGAGTAAAACAGTTCTATTTCTGACAATTTTATATGGTATAGCGACCAATAACTGCTTCAAAAGGAAACTACTAAAGAATCGAAACTAATCACTATTTATATCTATAATCACGACGCAGTAATTTATGCGAGACATAATTGTTGAATCATTTAATGGGTGCATTCAAGGAGAATAATTTGAGGAATCAGAATTCATTTTGACACAAAATCTGCAATAATTTCGAAAACCCGTCAACAAATTTCCATTATATAGTCAACACCATTTTCAATCATTCTACTCCATACAAATTCTACAAAATGAAAAATTACTTATTATTGTTTCGTCTCTTCATATTCATTAACCTTCTCCATACAATAACGTCCAGAAATTGTCATGTAATAATAAATCAGAACTATGTAATTCATGTTGTCAACAATTTGCCTCCAAAGTCTGCACCATTGACAGTGCACTGTGCATCTGGGGACAACGACCTTGGAACTCATACACTTTCTGTCAATCAAGCTTTTACCTGGGGTTTCTGTGAGAGCTTTGTTTCACAAACTTTGTTCTTCTGTCATCTTTGGTGGGGTTCAAAAGACATAGCTTTTAATGTTTTTACACCAGAATTGAGCAAAAGGTGCGATGAACACTGTTATTGGGCAGCCAAAAGTGATGGCATTTACTTTTCGGGATCATACCCTCCAGGAAAGTTGGAGAAAAAATATGATTGGTAAATGAGAACAAATTAATTTGTGCATGATCTGATGCTATATGCGCACTTCAGTTAACAGAATCGGATTTGAATAAATTATCTGTTCGTTTTCTTTTCTTTGAACTCTTTCTGTTTCTAATTGTTAATTGTATGTGTATCGGTTTCTTTTTCAAAACACCATCTACGTCTAGATGCATGTAGGATTTTTACGGTTTCTTTTTGGAAAAATTACCTAGAACCAGATTAGTTTTCATAAATAAGATGATTAAGTTTAAATTTCAGATTCCAGGTGGTAAATAGAATTTAAAATTTAAAATTTAAAACAGAAACCGAATCCCCAGCAAACCCTCTCTCCCTTCTCTCTCTCTCCATAGCCAACTCTCTACCCATCCCCTCTCTAATTCCATCGATCGGTCAGCATTGTAGAAAGTGGTTCGCACAGTAGCGTCCATAAATTCCGTTCTCTAGGGAAGTGAAGATTTTCGAGCAAATTTTCTTAAAACTCCAAAAATGGGTAAATCCCAACTATCAATTGATGAATCTAGTGACAAAGCTTTTCTGAGCCAACTGAACAAGTGGAAGTGGAAGTGGAGTGGGGGTAGGGAAGGTAGGTTCTTTCTCTCCTTCTTTTTCAATGGTTGATTGTTGTCTTTAGAGAGAGAATCTGTCTCTCAATCGATTTTGTGAAAGAGCTATAGAGTAATTGTGGGATCCAAGAAAAAGCAAAAGAGAATCAGTGTGTTTGAGGGTGGGTTGGCGGGTCCAAGTGGGGTGGGGACCTGATGAAAAAGATGAATAAATGTAGCAGAAGCTAAAGGCCACTTGTGGGGTCTAATTGTTCGATTAGAGCCCTTACTTCGCTGCCGTTGCTATTATGGTGGTGCTTGCAAAAATCCAAGCGAAAACTAGGCAATGGTGCTTGGTATTGCCGGTGTGGTAATGGCATTGACAGTGTGTAGTGGTGTTTAACCAGTTGTGCAGATCTGGTGTATGGTGGGTTGGTGGATTCAGATCTGGTTGGTGGTGGTGGTGATAGTGTGTTGTTGGATGTGGTGGTGGTGGGTGTGTGTGCTATGGATGCATATTTGGTCGACGTTTTTGGGAGTAGTGGTAGTGCCGATGAAAATCAGGTATGACCAAATCTATCTTTATTGTGACTGCCTGTGACCAGAAGTATGTTAAATGTGACTTATGTGACTTGTTTACATGTGGTCACAAGTTAGACTGATATAGTCACAGACGGTTACAATGAAGATAAAGTTATTCACAGATAACATAGGTCAATGAATGTAGTGAAATTCGAGGAGAAGCTTGTAGTGACTAGTGGTGGATTGTGGTACTAGTCTACGGTACGTGAAGATTTTTGTTGCGACTCTTTGTGGGTAAGTGTGTTTAATGTGATTGTTTGTGACCAATTCTGCATTTATTGTGATCGATTGTAAGTTTATCACATATCGGTACAATTAATACTGACTTGGTCACAAACAGTCACATTTAATACAAATTTGGTCACAATTGGTCACAAATATTCATTCTACCTGATTAGGTCACAGATTCAATAGAACTAGTCACATATCACAATGTGCACAGTCACTGATCTAATGGAACTGATCCTAGGTCATTGCCAAAAAAGAAGAAAAAAGAAAAAAGATATTCATCAGAAATATGAGTGGCTATCGGAATAATCGTCGGAACGGTCGCCAAAATATTTACCGGAGGGGTCGTCGGGATTTAGGTCGAAGCCGTCATCGGAGCTGGAGAAGTTGCCGGAGGTGGGATGGGTGGAGAGAGAAAGAGAAGGGTTTGATCTGATGGGTGGGTGGATGGATTGGAGGTGGGGTGGGGTAAGTAGATTAATTATACTACATTATAATTAAATATTTAATAAATTTAATAATCATCTGATTTTTGAAAGATTTTTAAAAGTTTGTTAGTTTTGAAATGTTATTTTTAAATGAAGGATGCACATGGTGTTCCCTTTCTTTTTTAGTGACCATAGACTTCATTCAGCAATATCAGGGAATTAAGTCAAAGACTCTGTTCTAAAATCGTATTGCCGTCTCTTCGTGTGAATTTTTTGGGCACTACATGGCTCCAAAATAAAATCTATATAACTCACGGCCAATTCTTCTTCTATGGACACGACCATAGGAAAATAAAGAACGAGCTTTTCAAGTTGCCAAAAACTATATGAAATGTGTATATATATATATATATATATATATATATAGAAAGTCATCTTCCAAGTTATAGGTTCCTAGTTGTGGTTAACAATGATACATCTCCTCTCTTTTTTAGTGTAAAAACAATCTCCACAATAATGAAAATTAATTTAATTAAAATATAAGTTACACAAGAAAAATAATTAGTTTTAATTTTGTAAATAAACTGAAATAAAAACAACGAAAACTGTAATATTAAAAAATGTAATTATATTCACATCACAATTTTTATTTTCTTTGTTCATTGTAACTATTATTTTCTTAACTTTTTTTCGTTGAATTCTTATATTCAACATTTTGTTGTACTCTCGTCCTTGATGCTAATCTATATCAAAATATATTATTTTCATGCTTTAAAAACGTTCTACTGTGCAATATGTATATGTGTCTTTTAGATTTGAAAATCACTTAACGATAACAATTTTATTTGAGGGAGCCATAATAGATTAAGCCTTGAATTAAGCCCCTTTAACTAAACTTCAATTGATACGTGATTTAGATTCAAGTCATAGTAGGTAGCACTATTAATGGCCATGAACTCTTACCTTGATTCTAATAAGATTCTGTAGGAAATAATCCAATCCCATAGCCACAACATCATGAAAACTCTTATATAGGTGAGTCCTCAAAGGGTAAGTGTAACTCGCACCTCATGAGAAATCTCGTCTTGATACTCATTCATGGTTAAACGCTTCATGACATCACGTCACTAACACTAATACTATCACTATCACTATCACTATAAGGATAAGCATGAATAATAAGTGCTATTACGAGTCACACAGTGCGGGTTATTTTTACCACATCGAACTTTCTTTATGAGATTTTCAATTGCAAAAGTTAGGTTAATCTTGAAGATTACACTCTCATGGGCTTAAACCCATTCCCCTCGATAATTTATTTATGTCTATCATGGGAATGCTACTTATTCATTTTGCTCTTGGACAACAATTTTTTCTATAATATTTGCAAAGCTTCTATTTTCCACCTACACTTCTGTACATCTACAAAATCTTCTAAACTTTCCAAATATTAATGTCACATATTTAATTATAAAAAGATAAATACACGAAATTTTTATTATTGACTTTTATTATCACATTTGAGAAAGTGCACCCATTCAACTCCTTATATATGACATGCAATCTTCATATTTAACCACGGCACTTTGCTCGAAACATCAATTTTACAACTAAAAATAATAAAATATAAGGTATACATACATCTAAAATTTGAAACACCCGGACATTCCCAAAATAATCCATCACCAACACTTTTTAGTAAATGATACTTCAATGAAGCATCTTTGCAATTAAGAATGAGGCTTTTTTAGCGTTCAATATACTCTATGACCTGTTTTTCCTTACTTTGATGGTTGTCTACATGATACTATAGAAGCGTGCTAGGAACTCTCACTCAATTTGATCCTTACCATCAATTGATCCAGTTGGTAAGTCAATGTACCATTCAAACATTGTGCCTTTAAGGAAGTGCACAAACTACTTCGCCTTGGTATTATTATGTGGTAAAGTTTTTAAATGTTTTGATAAAATAAGACATGTTACTCTGGGTGCATTTCAATAAAAAATTGAACTTTGGAGGTTGGCAGACAAGCGACATCTTCATTCCGTCGATTTTATGACTATAGGGATTGGCATACTGTGGTGAAGCACCATACTAGGAACACGGGATATTGCAATCATATATTGGAGTTGTTGGATGGATAGAAAGTAAATAGAGTTGAGTGGTGTCACATTATGTACTTTGCAATACCGTTTGCTCATGTATATTTTACTTCTACTGGTACTTTTGGACTTCTAGATCTTTACTTTTGGAAGAGACTTATTTTTTTATTGCCTTCCACCAACGAGATTTACAATTTCAATTGGTGTACGGGTACTGAAATTTATCCATCTTTCTCTTATAGGGACTTTGTCAAATTTTCAATTATCAAAGTCATTTATTGAATTTGTTTGTCAGAACTAGACGTCATTTATGTGATAATCATCGGCTCAAAGAGTTCTTTATATTAGGTATAATCTCTCTATGTTCATGGAGAAGTGGCATGAGAGGACTCAGATATAGATATGCCACTGAAGATATGATCAAAATGAGAACTTTTTGCCCAACTCTTAGACTTCTTTGTTGAACGGGCTTCTTAAAGTTATAGATCTTAGCATTGCCTTATTTTGAAACTTCCTCGATGGTAAAACTAATTGAGTAATTAAGTTTTTTCAATCTTCGTCTGGGCTGTAGTTACATAAAAGGGTTGAGCAAGTGTTTCCGCAAAAAAACTTTTGTTTTTCCTTTGCTTTTTTGCTTATCATAGTTTATGTAGTGGTTGAAACTTATCGATTCTACTAGATCGAAAGATAAGAGGACAAGAATGTCTCACTGAACATTTGAGGAGTTTGTACAATAAATTTCATGTATAAAATATATAGATTGTTGCAAATTGGTTTATGGTGAAATGCAAAGTGGGCTGATTCTCTTGTGATTGCATTGTGCAATATCCGATTAATGATTCAGATGTTTAGAGACAATGGGCATGTATGTTATAGTATTGGACTTCGAGATTAGTTGCAAACCAAATTTATTTGTATTCTCTGGATTAGATCTTGAGAATAAATAATGTAACAATCCGGCCTCTATGTCCAATTCATTGCTTATGTACTGTCCACTTTGGGTAAATCTAAGCCCATGTTACTCCTTATGAATTTCTATTGCGTTCCTAGAATTCTAACACATGACATCCACTTAAGAGAGGTTTAAGTTAAATCCTAATACCAATTGGACTTAA